GAAAGCAATGTAAAATAGAATTATTAAGTGAACAAGGCTATGGAAACTTAACCAAAGGTGGCATTTCTACTGTACACTTTTCCCAAAAGGTTTCCACAATTTTGGCCACTACTGTATATCCAACACACCTTCCACATCCTATTTTCTCCCACAACAACCACCCTGTGAAGTAGATTGGGCTGAGAGAGAGTGACTGGCCCAAAATTATTCAGCTGGCTTTCATGGCTAAGGCAAGACTTGAACTGACAATCTTCTGCTTTCTAGCCTGGTGCCTTCACCACTAGACTAAATTCACCAAACTGGCTCTTTCAGTTTAATAAATTAAATTCTAATAGGCTATCTTCTAGACCAGGCATGTCAAACTCGCGATGTCACGTGATGTCGCATGATGTATCGCGACTTTCCCCATTGCCGGCAATGGGGTGGGCGTGGTTTTGGTGTGACGTATCTGGCCCATAGGCCGGCAATTTGACATGCCTATTCTAGACTGTTGATTAGGTTTTGGTGGTCTTGTACGGTGTAGAAATACTCTGAATACTATGAGTCTATCCATAAGCATTTAAACATCTCCTTTGTATTCCTCCTTCCTCAAACAATGTCTCATGAAATTCTACTGTCTTTCACCAGTAATTTGCCATGCAATATTTGGGGCTCATGTTTAACAAATCCAAAGTAAAGTTAAATAATTACATGATAGCTAAACTCAGGTCATTGGCCAATATGTCAGCAAGGTAAGAAAAATACACATTCTCATGTAACATTATAGCAAACGTGAAAGCGCTATTTTAAAAACTTAATATAACATTAAGATCTTTATTGAATATATTCTACATTCTTAGACAATTTTTTGAAAAGGTAATCAGCCTGAACGCTTTTTCTTGGCATTTCTAAGAACATTTAAAAAAACACTTGTCAATGTTAGCTTTTTTATTGATTTTTTTTAAAAAATTGATGAAGTAAACTCAAACTACAATTGTTTTACATCATTAAGATCTAACTGTACTAAATGCTTATTCCAACAACATATTTACAGAAGGTTCTTTAGAGAAGTTTTCTTCATTTATAATGAAAAACATTAAATAAATTGAACCTTTGAACAGAATAAACACAGTATTAACATTTGGATGTGCATTTAAGATTTACACAAATTTATATTACAGAAGAGGTAAGTAATATATCTTTCCAGTCATTTATATATTAAAAGTTGAATTGTTTGTGTTTAACTTTATCATTTAATTTATAACAAAGTTTATAGAAAAGATGATGTGGCCTTGTGGTTAAGATTCTGGGCTTGCAAACTGGAAGGTAGGCCGTTAAAGTCCCAAGCACTACATGATGGGATGAACAGAATTTGTGCGCCTCGGCATATAGGTAGTCCTTAAGTTACAATAGTTCATTTAATGACCATTCAAAGTTACAGTGGCACTGAAAAAAATGAATATGACACTTAACAACCATTGTAGCATCCCCATGGTCACATGATCAAAATTCAGACACTTGGCTGCTGACTCATATTCAGGAAGATTGTACTGTCCCAAGGTCATGTGGTCACCTTTTATGACCTGACAAAGACTGGGGAAACCAGATTCATTTAACAACCATATTACTAACTTAACTGCATTGATTCACTTAATAACTATGGCAAGAAAGGTTGTAAAATGGGGCAAAATTCACTTAACTGTTTTGCTTAGCAACAAATTTTGGGCTCAATTGTCATAAGTTGAAGGCTACCTGTAGTCATATTGGCCACATGACCACAGAAGCATCTTCAGACAACATAGGCTCTCTCGGCAAGGAAACAGATGAACACTGTCCTATAGAGTCATATATGACTAGACGAAGCCTTATATAGAAAAAGCTTTATAATTTGGCAGAATATGCAAATGAAACAGGCTAATATATTAAACTAGGAAATATTTGTCTTATAGAAAAGCACCAGCAAATATATTTTCTATGCTATGTGCTCATATATTTAATTAGATTGTAATAGGAAAAAAAGTCTAAAAAAGCAAAGAGAGATCAGAAGTCATATCAATGACAGAAGTGAAATCTCACAAAGAGAAGACCTTGATTGATTAGGAAATAAACCTAAAAAAAACCCCAGAAAATTAAAACGGATAACACACTAACATAAAGTGCAGTAGCTTAATTTTTATATACAGTATATACTTAAAATCAACTACATGGACATTTATGTGTTCTGCTTGCCCTTTTGGGAAATGGGGTACTGTATAGCTACCACTGCAAATGTCATTCTCTGTTCCTTTCAAATTGGCGCGTGGTTTGTGTCTGTTAATCAAAGCTTGCTGTGAGATTTAAGAGCAGAAGCAATCTTTCAAGTGGGCTTTAGCTGTTCAGTGTTTTAAAATAAATATTAGGACCATATTTGGCAGCCAGAGAAAACAGCTTTTACTAAGTGGTGCAATTACATCAAGTAAAAATTCCAAAAACAAACATATGCAGCATTAAAATGGTAAGACTTAGTAAGTAGCACAAATGACTATATGGATTAGCAGTTTTCATTTTCATTGTTGCAGTTTACTCTATTGGATCTTCAAAGCACATTTTGAACTTAAATTAACAATTTCATAAAAAATAAATAACAATTTCCAAATATCAGGGATTTTATTTAAAAGCAAGTAAACAGAAATTTAGAGCCAGATTGATGTAGCCCATTTGCATCAGACTAGAAATTGGGAGGCCATGAGTTCTGGTCCTGCCTTGGGCACAAAGTCAGTTGGACGGTCTTGGGCTAATCACTTCCTCTCTGCCCTGGGAAAAAGGCAATGGCAAACCACTTGTGAAAACATCTTGCCAAGAAAATTGCAGGGATCTGTCCAGGCAGTCTCCAAGAATCAAATGCAATTGTATGAAAAAAAAATTAATTGAAATGATTAATGTGTTCATTAATTAGTTATTGATGTTAAATTGATTCCTGAGAATTTGTAAGCAGTAGGAAGCTTCCTTGCAACCTTCCAAAGTAAGCACAAGAGGGCAGTAATAGATAACGTTTTAATACCTTATCTTCACACATGACCTGTGTATAAGAATTACCTATCCAGCTGTTAAGTTTGTAAGCAATCTTTGTATAAATTACTCTCAGAACAACCAAACTATTATTTTATTTATTTTTTCAATATTTTACTTGATAAATATCCTATATATTACTTGCATATTTCTTTTCAGACTGAACCCAATTTGCCACCAGAAAACTATTGCCCCCCCACTTTTCATATAAATACAATTTGTACCTCATATTATATAGGCAAGTGTAACTTAGATTACCATATATTGAAGCATGGAACAAAACCATATTAATGGTTTAGATGCACGCAGTATATAAGGTTTATTTTTAGCTTAATACAATGTGTGAATAGAGCCACTGAAACTTAAGAATGTATGAACTGAAATTTTACAGCTAATTCAATAAACTATGATTTTAAAGTCTGATTTAGCACAATATGTATTAAAACAACATTTAAATAGCTAGGAAAGTTTCCCCACTGCTTTGTGGGCATAGTTATGAAATATTAATGATAAAGCCTATTTGTAGAATACCTGTTTTTAGCTTCAGGGATCCAGATGTGAATTAATCCTATGCTCTACGTATATATTTACCTGATAGTGAGTTACACTGCAGTTCAATGGAGAATGCTTTGAATAAAACTTTGTAGTTAAGTCACTGTGGTACTTTTTCAAAAGCCAACAAATAAAACTCTGTTCAACTCATCTTCAGTGCTATGAGGAATTCATGGAGAGTACAGTTTTAAAGATTAATATGACAAATTAAACAAATCTGTAATTGCTGAGAGTGATTATGGATAATTGTTTGCCAGATACTAATATGTATGCAAGAATTGTTTACTATCTATATCTTTTGAAATTTGAGATTTTTGCTACACTTCTATTCCTGCTTTAAAAAAAATAAAGCAGCAGGGATGTGATATAATTATACAATGTAAAAAGGATAGCTTAGAAATTAAACTAAAATGGAAACATGAAGTGTCATATTTTAAATGAAGAACAACGGAACTATAGTGATGCATGAATAATATAAATATATTCTTGACTGAAAATAATTCTGCATCAGTTAATTTCATCTGTTATTCTGATTTCTCCAAAGTTAAGTAGTACTACTGATTCTTGTTAAAGCAACTGGACCTTGATAATATATCTTTCCCAGTCATTTTCATAGTGAATATTAAACTCCTATTTAATTTAATTTAATATTAAAAGCTATTTAAAACAAAGAGGTTTTTTTTCATATTTTGCATTTTTCTAAGGTTGTAATTCAAATATAAACTTGTTAATCATATATGGATATTTCAGATGCTGAAAAGGGTATGGAAAATGGAAAGCCACTTTAAGATGCAGTGTTGTATGAGCGCAATAAAGAATTACTGTTTTGTTAGCCTTTTAAAATCTTGTGGATTAGTTCATCTAAATTAATTTCTACAACGAAAGTGTTTATTTTCCTTTAGACTTGTACAAAATGTGCTTTGCCCTAGTTAAAAAAAACCCAAACTTTTTACAGTTGTGTGTCTTCAGTTTCAACAGCTATTCAAAATGGAAGATAATTAAAAACTCAGAAATTTGGAAAATAGGAAGAAGGGGGGGCGATTCATCCTCTTTCTCTGGGCACAACCCCTTTCCCAAACGGATGGTTCGGCGCTGTAAGCTTTGAGGGGAGCATTTGGCCCAGAGCAGAACTTGGCTGGGACCTCCCTGCTGCTTTGATTGGCTGGAAGGTTTTTTTTTCGTTGCCTTTTTATCATAGGCGCGGAGAAATTCGGGGCTATTCGCTCAGTTTGGAGACAGAGGTGCGATCCACGCCGCTTCTTCTTCTGCTTCCTCCTCCTCCTCCTCCTCTTCCTCCCCGAGCTTTGGCGCAGAACAGCCAGAGGGCAGTTTGAGTCCGCTGGGTTGAGACCGTGACTCTTTTTCTTTTCACTTTCTTGCAGAATTTGTTTTGTATCCGATCGTTCCGTTATTTCGTGGCCATGGAGAACGGGGTGCCGTTTTACGATCAACCCGGGGCATTGTCCGAAACGAACAAGTGGCCCTGCATGGAGCAGTGCACCTTCAAGAACTTGAGCAGCTGGCGAATGTCCCTCAAGTTTTCGCAAGTGGTAAGTTGGGTTTTATGAATATGCAGAGGGAGGAAGGAAACGAACGGGGGGGGGGGGAGCCGACCCTCCCTTTGGCGCCGTCTTCCATTCTTTGCGTTTATCTTGTCTTCGTTTTCAGCAGCTCTTAAGGCGAGGAAGACTTCGGAATTTTATTTATTTTACATTTATGTATTATTTATATGCATTCTGCCTTTATTATTTTTACAAATAACTAAGGCGGCGAATGAACACATGTAACCCACCTTCCTCCTCCTACTTTCCCCACAGCAGCCTTATGGGGTGGATTGGGGTTGAAAGAAAAAGTGACTGACCCAAAGTCCCCCCAGCTGACCTTAAGGGCTAAAGCTGGACTAAACTCACGATCCTCCCTTCTAACCTGGCGCTTTAACCACCAGACCAAACGGACCCTTTTGTGCCTTTTAAACTCCGCTAATTCTGGTGGAGCTCACCGTCTCACTATCGATGTGTACACAGAGGGCCCGGGAGAGAAAAGGGCTACTGTCCTGGTGGCACCTCATCGAATATCTAAAACGTCAGCCACAAACCCGTAAAGTTGCAAACTCTTGTCCGCCTAGTTCTGGATAGCTTTGTTTTGAGACAGTGACTTACCTGCTGGGCCGTTTGTGCCGTCGCTGGTATTACAGATCTGAAGTCGCCGTTCGTGCAGCTTATTTGGGGCTGTTTTCACATCATTCTGAGAAGATGCGCTAGGCAGTTTATTTTTTTCTAATCGTTGTCCATAGTACAAGCGGCATAGCTCGCTAAAGTTTTAGGGAGGACTGCTTCTCGATTAGGGCAGTTTTTGCTTGGAAATAAAAGAACTGGAGGTCACTAGATCTTGAGCCACAATAAATTTGGGATGATGTATATTGTGATTCAATATATCTGGGGCCTTTCAGGTGGCATTAGATATTAGGCTTAAATGACTAGTGTGTATGAGGTTACTAAAAAAACAAATCTACCAAAGTGAAGTACAAAAGGAGATATACACTTAAAATTGTAGAATGTCAATCCCAGAATTTATTTTGAATAATAGAGATGAACAGAATTTCCAGATCTAGCATAGCCAGTCAGATTCCTAATTACATTCCTCTTGCATTATGTATTTCAAGAACATAAATTAGGTGCAGAAAAACTCATTTTGTTACAGATTTCATTAATCAATTGGATATTAAAAATCCTTGCAAGCTACTCATAGTTCCACCAGCAGATCCAGCTTTATTCTCTGCTCCCACTGCTTGACTATGTATTTTGTATCAAGATATGTCCTCAAGTCAGTTTAAAGGAGATGTGCATTACTCTATTTTTTACATTAAAAATAACTTATTATACGACACTAAAGTTAGGAAATTGAAAGACTAGACTCTCTCCCTCTCCTCCCTCTTTCCCTCTCTCTCTCCATCCCCCCTCCCGCTCCCCCTCCCCCCCTTCTCTGTTAGTTGGAAAGGAAGCTGAGTGATCTAGATTCAAAACTCACTTTATTCCACTGGTCTCTGGTGAACAATGGACCAATCCACTTATTGACACTGGTTTTTTTCATTACATTAATGTATCGTATCGTAATAGATTGTATTCTAACATACTGTTCCTCTATTTACTTTTTGCAATTTATGGCTGCATAATTATTTTTTAACTTTGATATAAGTGCCTTCAAAGTCTGGTGAAAAAGTCATTGATTTAAAAGCATTTCAATACCAAAATAGTGCTAACAAATGAATAAGTAAGTTACCAGGATGTCACTCAAATGCCTTAAGTTTTCCAGTCAATCCCCAATTGATTATGGGGATAATTATGAACTTCTCTTTGGGAAGGAAGTGAAGTCTTAATGGGAAAATAATTGAAGCCTGATTTGCACTTATCTGATTAAGCACATATAGGAAATTAATCCTATAATTCTTTGCTACAACTTTTCCCATATTTTATTAAACTCTTTATAATATGATATATTAGTATTTTATCCCTTCTTTGCTTCAACGCATAATATTTTGTGTAGAGCAGCCAGCAAATCTTCTTCCACTGAATTTAAGTAACTGTAACTTTAGACTAGACATGTATGATCTAAATCCATACAAGTTTCATAACTGAGTGGAGATTTAAAATTTGATTTTCTTATTTCTACTTTTAGCATTCTTAATCAAATTTTGACAATCTTTTCATCTTAAAATTGCATGTAATAATCTAACCCACCAATCCATACTTTTTAAAAAAAATTCTCATGAGTTAATCAAATCTTATGAGAGTTTTATTATCTCACACCCAAGTTTCTCTAGGAGAATGCTACAATCTTTAAATATATTTTTAAATTTGTTTTTAATTTAAATTTGGGGATCTTAAATGATGTCTGGAGAAGTGACAAATCTCTTAGCTACTGAGTTGCTCATTATGTTATAAATGTTACTATCAATGTGTGAAATTGGGCAGTTTGTATAGTGCCTAAGAAATTTATAGAATGCCAAAAATGGGACATCAAAGTATAGAACAGTTAACATTTCACACATTTCCTAGGCATCCTATGCAATGCCAAAAGGTAAATCAGCAAAGTATAAATACTCCCATTAAAATGCTGTTCTAACCTTCCTTGTTGCAACGAGTTTGACAATACTGGTCTTTTTCTCTTGTTTTTTTCATTAAGAAAGTCCTGCACTTTATTTTGCATTTCTTCTTTCATTTTCATATACATCTTTTCAATAAAGGATTAGGGTTAACCCTAACCCTAATCCTAACCATGACTCTCGTTTCATATTTTGCCTAAATAGTACTTTTCACTCTGCATAATGCCTAGGTAATGTATACAGTGCCTAGGGAAAATATATAGTATGTTGAAATAACACAGACATTTCATACTTTGCTTAAAAAGTCACACATTCTATAGATTTCATAGGCATTCTATACAATGCCAGCTTTTCACACAATGTCAGTAATATAAATCATACAGTTCTGCAACTCTCAGGAAAATTGTTTCAGAATGCACAAAGGTGTGAATATAGCAGCTGCCTGCTATTTCTTAAACCAGTTGTGCAGTCTTTGTAAAGATACAACTATTTTAAAGAGTAGTAGCTAAATGCTATGTCATACATCCACTACAGTGCCATTTCTGAAATAAACCTAAAGCAGTGCAGAGTCCTGATAAGTACTACACCCTACCCTGCTGACTCTGTCATCCACTCACTTGGTGAATGTTAGGTTGCATTCCTTGTTCTCTGATAATAACGTTTTATATTTCTAATTATTGTTGTACAGATTTTGCTTCAGTGTTAAGTGTTTATTACCCTGCATGTCACCTAGAGTGGCTTCGGTGATTGATTATCAGTAATAAATGGATTAAATAATAAGCCATTAAATAAATTAAATAAATTTAAATAAAGAAATATTTTGTTGTGCTGACATATTTTTCTGAGCAGTATTTCTTCCCATATCACCTTCAAATATTTGGAAGGTAATGGCTGTAGTTTGATAGTAATAGAAGAGAAACATACATTCAAGCCTTGTTCAAATTTTGACATAATCTTGAATTATCAATACATGTGCAGATTCCTTTCTTGAAGCCTGGGATCTAAAACAAAGCACTTCTTTACAAAATGTGTCTTTTAAGATAAGAAAGAAGGATTTGTTACATAGAATTGAATCATCGAATAAATGATTGCTTGCTTCATCATCTTTATTCTTTATTAACAGATCCTATCCTTCCTAGCCTTTGTTGCTGAAGAAGCTGTGAAGAGGTGCAACTCCTGTGCTGGACTTTACATCTTTGAGTTTGCCAGCTGCAGTGCCTTTATTTTAAGCATCTCAATCCTGGTTTTATACTGTACTGCTCTTTATCAAAAGGCTGGAGAAGACAAAGTAACTTGTCTGGTAAAGAGGCATTTTTTCATTTTTGTAAAAAACTGGAAGCACAAAATTTAGTATGGTCGACAGAGAAGAGCTTCAGTGACTCCATTTTAAAGATTTCAAACAATTGTCTTTCCTTCCATTCTTTTCATAACTTTGTTGCATCAAGGCTAGACCTACAGAAGTTTATTTTATTTTATTTTGCTTGCAAGGAATTGTTGCTTCACATCTATGCTCAGCTTCTCACATGTCAATAAAAAAGATACTCCTACTGAGTAGGAGTATCTTTTTTAGTGAGAGGTGATTTTGAGATGGGGCAAAAACTTATATCATTATTTTAACTTTCCAACCAGCAATATGTGGTGTTGATTAATTTAGATTATAAAAATGTTATTTGAATATAGGTACTCCTCAATTTTCCACAACTGAACCCAAAATCTGTGTAGTTAAACAAGACATTTTTAAGTGAATTTTGCCCCATTTTACTACCTGTCTTGCCACAGGTCGTAAAAGTGAATCATTAAGTGAATCATTACAGTTGTTAGTTAGCCCTGTTAAGTGAATCTGGCTCCTCCATTGACTTTACTAGTCAGAAGGGCACAAAAGGTGATCACATGATCCCCAGGAAACCACAACCATCATACATATGAGTCAGTTGCCAAGCATCTGAACTTTGATCATGTGACCATGATGATACTGCAATGGTTGTAAGTGTGAAAAACAGTCATAAATCACTTTTTTGTTGTAACTTTGAACGGTCACTGAATAAACTGTGGTAAGTTGAAGACTACCTGTAATTAATATGATAAAAATGAAGGAGAAAAATTGACATGTATGATACTTTTACTTTTTCTTCTTTTGTAGGATTTCTTTGTTTCTGCAACAGTAGGATTGCTGTTCCTCCTGGCTTCAATTATATTTACTGTAACTGCTGAGAAGGCACTGATTGAAAATACTGCAACTGTGAGTTCATATTTGACAGATTGCTAGGATTGTTATTAAAGCAGGAAAGGACAAGTTACAGGTCTTACTCTTGCTTCAATTAATTGGTTTTGAAGTGGAAAGGCATAAAATAGCTTCTGACTTGTGAAGCAGAAGTGGGGAAGAATGGTGCTTGCATTTTTATGAGAGGAGAATATACTTCAGAACCTAATTCTCATCATTATTTCAACTCATCATTAGGTAGTATATACTCACAGTGTATATCAGTGGTGGCGAACCTATGGCACGGGTGCCAGAGGCGGCACTCAGAGACCTCTCTGTGGGCACGCGTGCCGTCGTCCCAGTCCTAGGCCTTCAGCTGGGTTTTATAAAACCTTTTCACTTTAGGCCTCTGCCGCCATGTGCAAAAAAAAAAAGGTTCAGTCAATCAGTCAATTTCAACTTCTCGCGGGAAAAAAAAAAGATCTTGCAAAGTTGGAATTGATTGATTGAACTTTTTAATCCCACCCAGTCTGCCGTTACCACCGCAGCCACGCCCGCCCAATGGGTCACACTCCCCAAATGGGCCACACCCAGCCAATGGGCCACACCCACCCGGCATCTGACGATGCATAAGTGGGTTTTGGGTTGCAGTTTGGGCACTCGGTCTCTAAAAGGTTCGCCATCACTGGTGTATATCCTTACTCTATCTGACCAATTTATTTACAATATGCAACAAACTAATGGTGATTCTGTCTATCTGTCTGTCAGTCTGTCTATCTATATATTGTGTGTGTGTTTCTATCATCTCTCTATCATCTGTCACTAAAAATCAAAAATTACTTGATGGCACATACTCTAACAATTGAGATGGTAGTACTAAAAACTCAAAGACTAGGAGTAAACAAGCCACAAAGTAATCTGCTTCTGGAAATTATGATTTAAGATGTATTATACTACTCCTTTTCTTCAAATCATTTTTAAAAAGCCATATTAGCAGATATATTTAGGTGTTTGTGCCCCTAAAAATTTTCCTTTTTTTCTTAACGCTATTGCACATACAAATAGAGAATTCAGCATTTAAACTAGTGTGAGCATATCTTACTTTGTATAAAATTGGCACTATAAAAATCTTCACCTGTTTTAAAAGATAAATTTGTTCCCATATAATATAAAACCACTTACTCTGTAAGAGAAAAGGAAATTCATTTGCCCTGTAGTCTGGCACTGCAGCAAGCAAAGCTATTTATTGGCCCTTTGCAATGAAAATGAGGAAAGAAGCCAAATGAAAGATCAAAGCATGTTTGAAGCACTACAAAATGTATGTAAGGAAATGAAAAATTGCAATTTTTCAGGGAAAAAATTATTCTAGGGTAGCTCAAGTTGTACAAGAATTGCTTGCAGCCTAAAGAAAACCACAAATACATATCTCAATTAATTTTGTACATTTTGGAAATATACAGTATTGCCATAGGTATGGAGAGGAGACTATATTCCAGAACTCCTCCTGTAAATGCTGCAGCTGGGTTGTCTTGGGAAAGTTCTGGCCGTAAGTCTTAAAGAGGAATAAAGGAAGATGATAGGAGCACAAAAATGAAACAAAACAAAAAAGAGTCAGTGAGTGAACAATACTGTAGTTTGATAAAATAGTAATAAATTATTGTCATTCATGTAGAATAGAGGTAGGCATCTTCCCAGGGCTGATGGCAATGAAAGCAAACCTGAAAAATCTCAGGTGGTGTATTTTGACCCTTAGCACTTAAGAAAAGGTTAGCAAACCTTTTTCACTCTCAAATTGGTGCTTTTCTTCCCTCCTGTTCCTGTAATGCTTTAATTAAATTCTGATTTCTCTCTCTTTTTCTATACCAAATATACCAAAAGGCAACTGGATTTTCTTGGTTTTTTTTTCTTTTGAAAACATTTCAATTCTCATTCAAGAAGCTTCTTCCGCTCTGACTGACTGGTGAGGAATGGAAGGATTTATATTCTTTGCAGTCATCTGGTCCTTACCACTCTGAGGGCCTGAGCACTCTGCAGTTTACTGCAGGGAATATACATCCTTCCTTTCCCCACCAGTCAATTAGAACTGAAGAAGCTTCTTGGATGAGAAGCAAAACATTTTCAAAGAAAAAAAACCAAGAATTGGATTGTTTCTGTGTATGTGCATAGGTGATTGTGGTTTTTTTTTATTCAACAGACATTTGGTTACTGCGCAAGTACATTATTTCTTGTGGATGCTGCCCAAATAATCATGAAGCGTATCGTTGAAGAGAAACTGCTGGAGACCATTCCAACAGTTCGACGCAATCGACGTGTTCGGCGTGAGATTCGAATGTTAAATAATCAGCGGGTCTAAGATGTAAACCACAATGGCTTTATACTGCATGCTGATCATAGTTGAAGAGATACTGTCCTTTAAGGGGTAAAGGTAGTCCTCAACTTATAACCATTTGTTTAGTGACCATTCAAAGTTACAATAGCACTGAAAAAGTGACATATGGCCGTTTTCATATTTGTGACCGTTGCAGCATCCCCACAGTCATGGGATCAAAATTCCAACTCTTAGCAACTGGCATGTACTGTATTTATGCTGCTTGCACATAATCACCTTTCGCGATCTTCTGACAAGCAAAGTCAATTGGGAAGCCAGATTTACTCAACAACTATATTATTTCATTCATCAACAATGACAAAAAGATCAAAATGGGGCGACGCTCACTTAACAATTGCTTAGCAATGGAAATTTTGGGCTCAATTCTGGTTGTAAGTTGAGGACTACTTGTATCTAGATTATTGAATTTTATTTCAGCTTTGTACTTGCTTAATCTGTACAATCCTTATTCAACAGACTATATACTATACTATACTATACTATACTATACTATACTATACTATACTATACTATACTATACTATACTACATTCATATATCATTTCTGAATTTCCTAACTTGCACTCTTTTTACTTTTTATATATATATGTGACTAATAAATGTGCAGCGTTTTGCTGAAAATAATTTTTTTAACTGAGATTGTTAAATCTTCATGCATTGGTTTTCACAATAAATATAGAGAAGCATTAAACAGTTTGATGTAGTCATTCATATTCAAATTTATATATTTATTTTTTAATCTTACTGTACCTATAGATGTTCCCACATTTTACCCACTAAACATTTTATTATTTCTTCTTAAATCACATCAATCATCTTTAAAATTTTAAAAAAGTCATGGGGTTTTATTGTCAATATTTTGAAAAGTAAGATTTCTATAATACAAATGGAAGCTACATCAAAAATTGCAGAGTATATCCTGTTCAGCATTCCAGAAACTATGTCCATTCTACTTTCCCAATAATTAGACATTTTCTCTTCATACCTGTAGGATTTTTAGTGTATACATCTAGGTTTTTGGTTCTGTCATTAGTCATCCAGTTCTTGATAGCCTTCAACTTCCATTAATCATAGCTTAAACCAGAGATTGTACCACTTTTAGGATATGGCAATATTCGAGTACTACCAGTGGCCTAGCAGGTGACCATGGCCTGCTTGACGCCACTCACTGGACACAGCTGACTCTAGACAGCTGGGTCGGAACAGAACAAGTCGCACTGGCTAACTCGATGTGGGGACAATTCGGTGCCCCACAAACTCCTTGCCTTCCCAAACTGCTAGCAACCAAGTGCATGCGTGCGCACACACACACGCACACACACTGCATTCCAGGTTTGTGGAATTTTATCCACAGAGGAAGGAGAGGGCCTTGTCCCCAAGCCCAGGCATGGTTGGCAATTTGCTAGGTCAGATATGGATACAAGTCTCCAAGCTTGGAATGTTTGTCTGTGTGAGTGTGTCTGTGTGTGTGTGTGTGTGTGTGAGAGAGAGAGAGAGAGAGAGATAGCACGCTAAAGAGATGTTCTTTTCCCAATCCCAGACATTGTTGGTGTTTCCCTGTCCGGTGCCCCCTCCTGGCAAAGCAGGAGGTGGAGGATGTTTGCAGGAAGCAGTTTCCTCTGAGTCCAACTTCTGTCTTAACAGATCTCTGTTAAGAGCAAGAAGAGGCAGCAGGGGAGCAGCACTCCTGGGTCCTGTACAAGGGAGGCTGGCCCTTCTCAAAAGGGAATTTCCATTTCCAATTGTGGGTGGTAAGAATGCTGGCTTTTTGGGGCAGCCTTCCTTCACACAGCTCCCTTGCCACCCCCTCCTCTTCTCCAGAGATCTGCAGGGTAGACAGGGATCTGGAGGGCAAGGTGCAGCCTCCATATTGGCTACTTCTACTTCTCCAAGCCCTCCTCAATTAAACATACATTATATAAAACACAGCCAAAAAGAAAACATAGTTAAATCACTAATTACAGCTCTTCACATATTTTCTGGAAAAAACACCTTTATTGATGTTAGGAAGGAAAAGCAAACCTTATTAAGGAACTCTTAACAGGAAGGGAATTGAAGACCCCAAAAGGTCTTGTTCTTTCTAATCTGCCTTCCCTTTGAGCCTTTAGTTCTCATTATTTTATTATTATGTATTTAAGAAGAAGATCAAAGGCCACTGTAGCTCAGGATACTCACCTTAAAATCAGAACCCAGAAAAATTTAGTTCATTTCATTTTTTCATTTTATTCAATTTGTATCCCGCCCTTCTCCCGGAGGACTCAGGGCGGCTCACAACATTTTTTAAAACAAAAACAAACCCACAATCCCCGCCGAATAAAACCAATTAAAACCCAAATATTTTAAGTTGTGACATTTAAAATTTTCTAAAAAATGAACCCGATTTAAAATCCACCCTAGGCCAGGCCCGCTTGCTGGAAAAGCCAAGTCTTGAGGGCGCGGCGGAAAGTCAGGAGATCCGGAATCACCCGGATCTGGGGGGGTAGTTCGTTCCAGAGGGCGGGGGCACCCACAGAGAAGGCCCTCCCCCTGGGGGTCGCCAGCCGACACTGCTTGGCCGACGGCACCCTGAGGAGACCCACTCTGTGAGCGCGTACCGGTCTATGGGAGGGAATCTGCGGCAGAA